AGTTGGAGTGCAGCTGAAGTTCGACCGTGATGTAGACCAATGTACGGGATAAAGTATTTTCAACCGACTTCAAAAAGGAGGAGGTTCTCGTTTCGACTGTATTTTTAATGTAAAATGAAATAGAATAGAATAGAATAGTATGGAATGGAATGGAAAAGAATGGAAAGGAATGAAATGGAATTGAATGGAATTGAATGGAATTGGATGGAGTTGGATGGAATGGAATGGAATGGAATAAAATGTAGTGGAACGGAATGGAATAGATGGAATGGAATAGAATGTAATAGAATGGAGTACAATGGAATAAAATAGAATAGAGTGGAATAGAATGGAATAGAATAGAATAATTTTATGCAATATAGCTTATTACATAATACTTATTGCAAGTCATTCTTAGGACCACTGGTTCGGAGAATACCTCTGTCCTGGGAAGTACCAGCTAGGAACCCAGCAGGACTTTTTTTTCTAAGTAAGCCGATTTTGATGATTCTTTCTTTATTTGATAGCTTTAATTTAATCAAGATTTAAGTAATGCGTATTTAATTTACTTCGACAACATTGATGATGTTCTCATTTCATTTACATTGAAGTCGATTGTACAAAATTTTTAATTTTACCCCTTGTATCTACTGCAAAGTTAAATTTGTACTGGAATCCAACTTACCTCTTCGTTAAAACAATGTTCGGTGCTTACCTTACTTATAATATTTATTTCAGAAGGTAAGTTATTTTGGTGATTCACCATGTGTATTATGGTGAGTGTAGAGAACCGTAGGCGTATCTTACGTATCTTGCAGAAGCTGAAGCCCTAGCTAACTAGCGACCACAAGGCAGCGCTGTCGCTAGTTAGCTTGGTTATCGCTGATACATAATACGGAATCTGCGATTTATCAGCAATTATTGTTCTAATTTCGCTATCGCTAGCCTTCTGCAAGATACGTAATACGCCTACAGGAGACCCTTTTTACTGGAAAGGAGGCATACTATCTTAGTCCTATGGGCTGACAACGCATCTGCATTTTGATTCGCAAACGAGGGTAGACGTAGATGTCTACGGGCCACAGCAACCACTTACCATCACGTGGACTGTGTGCTCGCTTGTCACCCTTGCCACGCAAAAAAAAACTTAATGTAACCTTATATTTTTGTTAAAAAGTTTTGGACAAATATTATATTAATTTGAAACGTAAAAACATGAAATCCAACTGTAATTAATTCCACGCGGACTACTATATCTTTACACGTATAAGCCCTACCGCACACGTTATTATAATTGTTTTATCACTCGAACTGTTTAGTCGAGTTGTGTACTTACTTGTTCAAGACGATTAAACTGTTTGGTCAAATTCAATGTTGCGCACACAGTCGATCCAGTCGCTATCGATTTTATTTATCGGGCGGTCGGTTAGCAGTATGCAATTATCTAATAATTACAACTTCCATGATTATTAAGAATGTACTCGATTGTACTTTACTTTATACTATACTAGCGATCAGCCCCGGCTTCGCAAGGGTGATTTCTGTATCTCGACAACAGCGGCACCTACCGAGTCCAATTTTTTTTAAATTACTAGTAATGCTACTAACATTACTAATATACTCTTAAACCACTTCTGGTAAGCTTAAAATGCTTGTGTTAGAAGTGGTTCACGACAGTAGTCGAATGGCGAATTCGAACCCACGACCTTTCGAGTTTGCGGTCCGCGCCCTGCTGTTAGGCTACTGACGCTTATAATTTGAATTTTGAGTTTACATCATCCAGGGACCCAGTCAAACGCATATAAAAAATACATCAAAATCGTTCATGACGTTTCTGAGATTTGCGAGACTAACGGACAGGTGAATGTAGAGAACCGGAGACTCTTTGTACTGGAAACGAGGCATTTCCTCTTAGACCTCAGTGGTGACAACGCACCCGCATTTTGATTCTTAATCGAGGATATATGTAGATGTCTATGGGCTACAGCATCTACTTACCATCAGGTGTACTGCGAAAACAAGGGATTTTTATACATAAAGATAATGCATAATAAAGAAAATAGAAAGAGAAGGCAACACGTTCTAACGGTGCTAGTGCAAAATAGTCACGAATCGACAGTCAAGTCGAGAGTATGTGCCTCTCAAAATATTGGTATTGGTTACTAATTACATTAATTTGAATACCTCGTTGGCTTAACAGTCACAAGCGTCATGAGCAAGGTTCGAACCCGTACCGAGTCAGACCCAAATCAATTGCTGGGTTTTTATTTTTTTATAGAGAATAAGGGTGACAAATAAATACACAGATGCTGTGGCCCATAGATACTACATCTATCCTCGATTAAGAATCAACATGCAGATGCGTTGTCATCCCTGAGGTCTAAGTGGAAATGCCTCGTTTCCAGTACAAAGGGTCTACGGTTCTCTACACACCATACGAAACACAGCGTTAATGCCGCTGCTATTTTACGCTAGTATTTTGTAAGAGCGTGGTCCTACCCCGGTAGAGACGACTCATTCGTGTTACAAACACAATACAGCTGTAGTAAGCACTACCACATTGAGAAATTCTCAGTAGCAACTTAGAATGTGGCGAGTAGCATCCTATTGACTCGGAAAACGCGTAAAGCTTATGGGAGTGAGGGAATAGAGAGTGCACCTCATGAACTTGTGCATTATAATCCTGACCTGCGCAGATGGTTAGTGTTCATTTTGACTGGCCGCCGGACCGCAATTCTGTCTGGAAGACATTAAGCTGTAATTCTTATTATCTTTTCTACCGACTTCAAAAAGGAGACGGTACTCAATTCGACTGTATGTTTTTTTTATGTGTGTTACCTCATAACTTTTTACTGGGTGAACCAATTTCGATGATTCTTTTTTTATTTAAAAGCTGGTGCTTCAGATGTGGTCCTTCAAATTTGATCAAAGTTTGACTAATTGTTTTTTAGTTATTCTTAATAATTTATATTGAAGTCGGTTGTACAAAATTTTTAATTATTAAAATTTTATTATAGCAAGCAAATTAGATACTCAAAATGGTGAGAATTGTTCCTCAGTCAGCTCTTCAAGATATTGGTATACTTACACTGCCACTAGCCAATGGCAATTTGTCATAAAGTAAGAGAAGCGTGGTCTAATGTTGTGCACTATGTGGACCCATTTCAAATTGTTTCTAAGGATGTGACAGCGCGAGGTGGATAATTTATCGATATTTAAAACAATGTGAGCACATCCTTATCGCTAACCCTCTAATCACTTACGACTAATAAAGTAGCAAGTTTTTATTAGCCCTTACTAAATTCTAACGGCGTGTCAGAAGCTGGGCAGAGACTGTGCAAGCAGTTTTTTTACGATATCGCTAAAGGCTGAAAAACAGTTTTATTGCCTGCTTTTCTATAAAACCTTTGCTCTATCTATGCTTTGAAATGACAGTCCTGTTATGTGTTTTATCTTGTCTTGATCTTGTCTACATAGTATAAAATAATTTAAAATTTTGTGCAACCGACTTCAATATAAATTAGAAAAATTTAGAAAAGAAAAAAAAATTAGAAAGAATAACTCAAAAACTATTGGTCAGACCTTGATCAAATTTACATGGGATCACATCGAAAGCACCAGCTTTCAAATAAAAAAAAGTATCATCGAAATCGCTTCACTGACTAACTGACATCCGGGATGTCATGGGAATATTGTAGGATAATACTTTTTCTTGGATTGTTACTCACACGTGCGTGTGGCTCCAACGATGAACTGTGCAGCTGCCCATAGAACCTCTCAATCTCACTCAAAATCGTAAAATATAAAATTACAGTGCTCAGGGTGACAACGACAACGCGTCTGCATTTTCATTCTTAATCGAGGATAGATGTAGATTTCTAACGCCCGCCATACAGGATCAAGTTTACCGTCAAGTTTGCAGCGCCCTTGAAGCGGCGTCCGGTAAACTTGACGGTGTATGGCTAGCAGTGTGCATGACAAGTTCACTTGAAGCAAAAATTGAATTTCGATTCTGCCGACTTGATCAAGCTTGCAGTGTCATGTAAAATTGAACGTGTGTATGAGCGGTCAAGTATGCATGATGTTAGTAGGCTTCGGCACGCAAAGACGCACGCATGCTGTATATAGTAAAATACACCGAAGTGTTATGTGTATTAATATTTTTTTTTATTTTGTTAAAAAAACTTTAGCTCCACACTAGGATTTTCTCCTGTATCGTGTTATTTTTAACAGTTTTGGCAGTTAACAAAGATAAATTGCACAAGGACACACATCTAGACCCGGAACAATTATTTGTAGGCCATACAAATACTTGTTCCGTGAGGGATTCGAACCCGCGTCCCCAGCATTGAAACTCATTGCTAAGCCAAAACTTTATTGTTCAATGTGAGGAAAGTTAATATGCAACAACGAGGAAAATTAATATTATAACAACGTGAACGTCTTTGAAACTCAGATAATTTACCTACTTACCATTTAACCGACTTCAAAAAAAGCAGGAGGTACTCAATTCGACTGCTTTTTTAATGTGTTACCTCAGAACTTTTTTCTAAGTGAATCGATTTTGATGATTCTATTTTATATGAAAGCTGGTGCTTATAATTTAAACATCCCATATAAATTTGATCAAGATCTGACTAGTAGTTTTGGAATTATCCCTAATAATGCGTAGTCATTCCGACTTCAATCGGTTGTACAAAATTTTTAATTTCATTAGTTGTCTCTCTTCCTCTCTTTTTAAGAAACGTTACCTCCACACTAGGATTTTCTTTTGTATTGCAGGGACAATTTACATACATAAAACAGTCCCAGAACAATTATTTGTAGGCCATACAAATACTTGTTCCGTCCGGGATTCGAATCCGTGGCCCTTAGCGCTGCAACACATTACTAAGCCACTGCGCCACGGAGCCGTCACTTGTCTGTTTCACATTTTTTTGCTATTTACTGTTGAGATAATTTTTTTCGTTTCACTAACCAGTTTTGCACCACACGGAACGATTTTTCCTTTTTGTTTTCTTAATTGCGAGCAATAAGCCTAGGATGGCTAACGCATCGTCGTCCGTCACTAGTGACGCCATGGTTTCAACTGATGCGGCATCATGCAAACTTGACGGCGAACTTGAACGTGAGTGGTCCATATGGATGCACTGCAAACTGGACGCCGCTTCAAGCGCGCTGCAAACTTGACGGTAAACTTGATCGTGTATGGTGGACTGTGTGCTTAGTTGTCACCATTATATTCCATAAAAAATCGTATATTCGAGATTATAAACACCCAGATCGGTGTGTGTCAGTGCCAAACTTGGCCACTATGGTAAATCTAGTGTACTGTTAAATAGAACAAGGAGCAAAATTAAACAAATTAACAATCCACTTCAATATAAATAAAATGAGAACATCATCAATGTAGTCGAAGTCAATTAAATACGTATTATTAAGAATAACTCAAAAACGACTGGTCAGATTTTGATCAAATTCATATGGGATTACGAGAGAAACACGGGCTATTAAATAAAAATACAATCATTAAAATCGGTTCACCTAGAAAAAAGTTCTGAGGTAACACATAAAAACAGAATTGAGAACCTCCTCCTTTTTTGCAGTCAGCTGAAAAGTATCACGATCTAAACATTGATAAGTTTTTGTTGATTATATGTCCCAAAGTTAGACAAAATTTTGCATACAGCAACGAAATCATCCGCGAGAACATTATCAATGTTCATAATTGAAATATGTAGTTCCTAATTCAGCTATGTCACCACGCGTCACATCGATTACAAAATATTTAGGTAAATATTTTATAATATCGATGTATTGACAGTCTGAATTCGAATACCCTGGGGCGGTTCAGAGCAAAGAATCATTAATAAGAGCGATTAGGTCTATATTAGTCAAACAATTTTCTGGCCTTTAAAAGGAATTAGGGTCTGTAAGAGCTAGGGCATTTATTTATATCAGACCAAATTAGACCTTATTGTACTTCTGTTTAGATTTATTTTTTACTGCTAGTCGATTGTCAAAAATTTATCATGAAACGATCCAGGGTTAAGGAGCTTAGAGCTACAATAAGTACGACATCATCCTTAAAACAAATATGGGGTCGCTGGTTTTTTATATCATATTGAAGATATTGTGTCAATATGAGTCATCGGCAGCTATTAATGTCATAAAAAAGAAATAAAAACATTTTACATACACATACCTAAAGGAAAAATAAGTTGAAGTCATAAATATTATGTTTGTCGTGTAATGGCAGCGTAAAGAATAGTATCCTTACCGTTAGAGCCTATTAAAGTCCACTGCTGATCATATGCCTCCCCAATAGATTGCTTCATAGGGGGTATATATGCCAGACATAGTTGCCACGCGTGGCAATCGTCGTTATTAGGAAGACGCTGCTGCCGATCTTCTGATTTGCTTCCCTCTGTTGTCTCTTACGACACCAAGGGATGATTTGGGGTAGTGGATATTCTTACACCGCCACTACACGGTGGAGATATTGGGTAGTGTTGTAGCCGGTGCAAGGAAAAGGGGAGATCTCCCGCCGGGCAAGGTGTTCTGCCCGGGGAGCGGCCAACGTTCCGAGTGGTAGTACGAAGCTATTTTATATATTATACTACTTTAACTTCGGAACTTTGTTTAGGCTTCGATGTGTTTCGCTTTCGTTTAGGCTTCGATGTGGCGCGACTGTAGTGCCGCCACAAGTATAGTACAAAATATCATTACTGCGGAAATCGTAAGAGATGACAGATATAAATGATACAGGAGATAGCCAGCATCATGCTTCTGGTGACTACCCAAAATAAAATGGTGTAAAAGTTTTTTTTTTTTTATGGGTAAATTGCGGTTGCCTAAGTATGAGGCAATCTTTGAGGAGGCAATAAAGTTGTGATAGGTTGTAATTAATGATGGTTACACCGTCATGATGATTTAGGCTCAATTTACATTGCGGCGGAATAGAAGCGTCAATTTCGCCTCGTCGCGCGGGAAGCCACGCGAATTCGGAGGATTGCTCGAGCATTCCCGCGAATTCCATCGACTGCGCCTCGCTTAGCTTGTACGTTATCAAACGATCATATTTTTGCACGAAAAAGATCAACTTTTCGTCTAAATCCATGTTTTTTAGTCACCCAGTACGTACACAACCTGTTTCGTAAGCGTTTGTCGCCGCTCTGCTGCAAGTGCCACTTCCCGGCTTCCAGCGGATTCCACAACCTTTCGCGCCAACAGTAGCTAGGGGAATCCTCGAGAATTCCACGGAAGACGCGCGACTTTTTTTGGCTCATATTATCTAGTTTGAACTTTATACAATTAACATAAAACTCATTTTACTATGTACAATTTCGTTATAAAAATTCGCTTCCGTTCCGTTCCTCGGCTGTGTAAATTGGGCCTTAGCAATTTCCCTATAAAATCATCTCATGGCCCCCATTGATAAAGGTGAGGTGGTACATTCTACCAGACAGCATAACAGCGCTCAAATAAAAACACAACAATAAACTAAGTTACATACGAGGTTACTTACCTTTAAAAACAAAGAACAAGGTTACTTACCAGTATAGGTAGCTGCACCATTGGTCTCTGAAAAAGAATAATAATAACGTAAATATTTTTTTATAGTATAAGGGTGACAAGCGAGCACACAGTCCACCTGATGGTAAGTGGTTCCTGTGGCCCATAGACATCTATCTACATCTATCTTCGACTACGAATCAAAATGCAGATGCGTTGTCATCCGTGAGGACTAAGATGAAATTCCTCGTATCCAGTAAAAAGGGTCTCCGGTTCTCTACACTCACCATCGAAACACAGCAGTGATAAGTTGATATCTTACGCTGGTATTCTGTGAGAGCGTGGTTCTTCCCCAGTTGAGTCGATCCATTCATGTTACAACTATACTACTAATATAGCTGCAGCATGGCTCTACCACGTATAAATAATTAAAAATTTTGTATAACCAACTTTAATATAAATTATTAATAATAACTCAAAAACTATTGGTCTAACCTTGATCAAATTTATATGGGACCACATGAGAAGCACCAAAGCTTACAAACAAAAAAAGAATCATCGCAATCGGTTCACCAAGAAAAAAGGTATGAGGTAACACACATAAAAAAAAAACAAAAAAAACAGTCGAATTGAGTACCGTCTCCTTTTTAAACTCGGTAGAAAAAGGAAGACGTTCTCCTTTTTTAAGGTCGGATTTAAAGGTATATTGTAAACATATTTCAAAGATTTTTTAAAATTAAATAAACCAAGACTGGGGTAAGTTTGTTCTCATTTAAGGATCAAAATATAAGGTATGAAGTTTTAAAAAAAAAACTTAAATATTAATTGATGTCTAATGACGATATTCTAACGGTTAACTTGAGGTTGTGATATTCTAAAAAGTGTCAAAAATCAATTAATTTTTTTTTGTTGATATTTTTAGTAAAAGGCTGACAAACGAGCACATAGTCCACCTGGTAATGCTATTAACGAAAGTTATGTTACAGAAGGACTATAGGACTCACTTTCCGTCTTAGACTCTTAGCTATATCCGCGGCAAGACAGCAAGATGGACAGCAGTTCCTTGCTATCGGTTGGATTGTACGATCCTTTCCCACTTTAGTATAAATAAGGAATAAAGAAAAAACGAAAGAAAATATATCGACACAGTACACACACACACACGTAATATAACTTACACAGCATATATCATCATCATCATCATTACAGCCCATCACAAGTCCACTGCTGAACATAGGCCTCCCCCAAGGAAAGCCACAAAGCACGGGCCAGAGCCACCTGCATCCATCGGCTTGTTGCATGTCTTACCAGGTCATCACTCTATATTGTGGGGGACGGCCTACACTTCTCCTACCGGTACGAGGCCTTTACTCTTTTTTTCCGAGATATATAGATTTTTACTCGAGAACCTTTCTTCCGCACATATAATTAACACAGCACATATAATTTAATGTTATTAAAACATAATAATGAGTAAAAAAAAAAATAAATACTTAATCAAAAAAGAATAAATAAATAGTATGCCTTATGCGTTAGAATATCCACTACTTCATATCAACCCGTGGGTAATTTAATAGGTGACAAACTCAATAAAATAATGAAGTTGCCTATCCACATGCTAAGCATGGCACCTACGGCAAATATCCCCCATGAGGATATTTATGGGGGACGCCAATCTTTAGCAGTAAACTTCTAACAGGCTGAAATAGATTAATCAACATAACAGAAATAAATATTCATATTTATTAAGATTTACATCAACCGAGCACACGCGATGATGACAAATTTAAACGTGGTAGAGCATGCTGCAGCTGTATTAATTGTATAGTTGAAGCACAAATGGGTCGGCTCGACCGGAGAAAGACCACGCTCTTACAGAGTACCAACGGAGAATTGCAGCTTAATGCTGCTGTGTTTCGTATGGTAAGTCTACACTTCTCTACAGAACCGGAGATCCTTTTTACTAGAAACTAGGCATTCTATCTTAGTCCTCAGGGGTGACAACGCATCTGCATTTTAATTCGCAAGCGAAGATAAATTTAGATACCACTTACCGTCAGGTGGATTGTGTGCTCGCTTGTCACCCTTATCCTAAAAAAAATATGAGCACACATTCTTCCTGTAGTGTGTGAATGCTATGGCCTTTGGACGTCTATAACTGTCCGCGATTATTAATCAAAATCAGCTCCATTGTCACCATTGTGAACTAAGAAGGAACGCTACGTTACCAGTAAATAGGGTCTCCGGTTTTCGTCATTCACCATACAAAAATAGCGGCAATATTAAGATATTTAACGGTCATATTCTGTGCGAGCCATTCGCACTACAGCTCAATTAGGCACAGCTTAATTTTACAAAACATGACCGAGTGACAGAATGATTAAAAAGTCTAAATTATATTATCTGGGCCAGATACGCGCGCGGTCAAGGAACGATCGGGTTCGCTGATTTTGGCAATGTTCCTCGTGCGTTCATTATCTACAAGCATGATCTTAAAGTAAACAAAAATTATATCTATATTGTAAGTGGCCAAATCTATGTTTACTTTTGACGCCTACATCATTTTGTAAGTATGTCAAGTAATTTACACAGCGCGACTCGACGGGCCAACGGATCCCAGCAGAATTCGAAAATAGAATATATAAGTTTGTATGTTTTTTGTTATAATTTGAAGGTAACAAGCGTACTGCAGTTTTCATTACATAGGTCGTTTATCCCGAACTGTAATGTGATTGTCTTTTTTATAGGTAAGGGTAACGAACGAGCATATAGTCTACCTGATGGATGATGCAGCGGCCCACAGACATCTCCATTTGATAAGAATCAAAATACGTTGTCCTCCATGCGGACTGAGATGGAATGCCTCGTTTCCAGTTAATAAGGTCTCTACGCTCACCATACGAAACACAGCAGCGTTAAGCTGCTATTTTACACTGGTATTCTGTGAGAGCGTGGTCCTTCCCCGGTCGAGCTGACCCATACGTGATACCACGTAACCACGTAAATACGTCTCCAAGTCAAGAGTTATTAGGCTATTGTTAAGCTAAATCAGTACCCTTTACCATCTTCATCACCATTTACCACCCACCACACGTGATAGAGCCATGCTACAGCTATATTATAGTTGTAGCACAAATAGGTCGGCTCGATCGGGGTATGACCACGCTCTCACCCAATACCAGCGTAAAATAGCAGCTGCTGCGTTCCGTACAGTGAGTTTAGAGAACCTGAGACCCTTTTTAATGAAAACGAGGCATTCCATCTTAGTCCTCAGGGCTCCTGCATTTTGATTCCTCCTCGAGGATTGATGTAGATGTCTATGGACCACAGTATTCACTTACAATCAGGTAGGCTGTACGCACGTTTGAGATTTTTTTATAGAAGAGGGGGCAAAAGAGTATGCGGTTCACCTGATGGTAAGTGACTACCGCCGCCCATGAACAACCGCAACACCAGGGGAATTGCAGATGCGTTGCCGACCTTTTAGAAAGGTGTAAGCTCTTTTCCTGAAGGTCCCTAAGTCGTATCGGTCCGGAAAAATCGCCGGTGGTAAACAATTCCACAGAGAAGTTGTACGCGGAAGAAAACTTCTAGTAAAACGCACAGTCGTGGACCGGCAAGCATCCAGATGGTGTGGATTGTATCGTGAATTTTGACGCAATGTGCGTTCGTGAAATTTGGCGGCTGGAATTAATCCGAACAATTCCTCAGAGCACTCCCCGTGGTAAATTCAATAGAAAATGCAAAGGGATGCATTTATTTGACATCACTATTCTATTAAAAAAAACATGTTGGTGGTACTATACCACTAGCACTGGCTAATAATAGGTTAAAAAATACCGAAATTTATCATAATTTACATATGTATATTAGCTACATAGTCGTATGCTATCAACAAATATTGAATTATCGTTATATTTACCCGGCTAAGTGCTATCAAAGCGATAGCATTTACAAACAAAAACAACTGCGTAAATGCTATTTATCTATATGTTGAAATTATTATAAAACATATTTACATATCTGTTTGTTGATCGATGTGGTATTTGTGCGATTGTGTTTGAATAAATGGGTCACTTTCACTTGATTTAATACGTGTGGAATTTGGATTGTTGATTTGTTAACTGCATAATAGATCAATTGGATTTTTTTAATATTCTTATAATGACTACAATAATTCGTTTAGACGTAAGGGACAAACTATCCTTTCAACATTCAATACTCAATACTCAATATTTATTTGCATTCCATAATGTACAAATTAATAAATTAAATTATCACAATATGGACCCTGTTGGGTATAGCAAATTAGAAAATTAGAACAGAGGAGGGCGCATAGTTGTTTTATAATTCATTATTATTATTATATCATTCATTATTATTATATCATTTATTAGTCCATAATTATTCATATTAATCATTCATTTATTTAAAGTATTGCATTTGTCATTCAGGTATTCACATTATCATAATTACAGCCATCACAATACTTCTTTCTTATAAAATTTGTGTGACAAACGAGCACACAGTCCACCTGATGGCAAGTGGTTGCTGCGGCCCATAGACATCTACATCTAACCTCGATTACAAATCAAAATGCAGATGCATCGTCACCCGTGAGGACTAAAATGTAATGCCTCGTTTCCAGTAAAATGGGTCTCCGGTTCTCTACACTCACCAAACGAAACACAGCAGCGTTAAGCTGCTATTTTACGCGGTATTCTGTGAGAGCATAGTCCTTCCCCGGTCAAGCCGACCCATTCGTGCTACAACTATACCACTAATATAGCTACAGCATGACTCTACCACATAAAAATTCTACTGCTGAACATAAACCTAACCCAATGTATGCCACAAAGCACAGTCCTGAGCCAGCTGCATCCAACTACTCCCTCCATCTTTTACCCGGTTGTGACTTCCTTGAGTGATCGCCATACACTTCGCTTGCCGGTACGAGGCACGATAAGGACTTGGGAACGTTTCTTCGTCATTGGTTGTCAGCTCTTCAAAATATATGGTTGACAGATTGCCACTTCGGCTATCCTTGATTAATTTTAATAAAGATGCAG